TATCACTTAGGTTTTTGTTCCGCGATCTACTATAGAGGGTATTAGTCATTCTAAAATCTTTCAAACTTACTGGTGTTCGCCCCCTGCACCAGCCATTGTAATTTTCTGCTTTCATCAATCAATGATCAATTTACTTTCAATGCATCTAAATTCTTTATTTCAAGCTTTCTACAAATTGTAATCAAATTTTCTTTCTTCTCGAAACAAACGAGAAAAGGTAGAAGATAGTCTAGCGGAACACACTACTATCACACGGTGTCCCTTTCTGTGCTAAAAGAAAGGCACCCCGTGAAACTTGGGCTAGACTCTGACAAGGATTGTATGGTGAGGCATGCAATTGACCCTCAATACTTGAGAAGGAGCTAGGGGGAGCTCTTTTCTAGCGAGTATGCTTCGAGAGGACGTATATTGCACATGAGCATCTGAATAAACTAGAAGAGGCACATTGCAAATAGGTAAACTCATGGCACGAAGTGCAGAGCAGGATGCATATGGGGTGATTACACACTAGTAAGCCTTGTGGGCTAAATGTGCAATGTGTCACGTCTAGACTCGTGATGGAAGTTGACAAAAGATAGTTGAATAGAGTAAGACTACTACCACACGGGTGCTAAAAATAGTCCCACTACAAGACTCGAGAGTCGACCCCGTGCTATCCATACTTGTGCATGTCCCCTATTTTGAATGTTGATGTCTCTTTCAGACCATATCACGTGTCCATGCTTTTAGCATCTATCTACAGTTACTGCAACATTATTAGGGGATTTTTAGCATCTAACAATATTTGCGTACATACTGCCTAGTTCAAATCTACACGTATAAATCTTTACTGAGGTACATATAAATGAACGATATACCGAAAACGAAATACAGGTCACATAAATTCTTGAGAAACATAGTATAATATACTAGACAGCACCGTACAAGACAACAAGCAAGAAATTTAACTTCTTTAATATTGTTCAGTATCGTGCAGATTTCTCAATGATTGCCTAAAAGAGATTAGAAGAAGACAGAGAGATCCAAGAATGTGGTTTCTTTATTTTCCACACAAGTTGATATCTCTCTTGGATGGTCTGTAACTCAATGCACCGAGGCTATAAATGCAAGTGTTTTCTCGTTTGGATTTGATTGAAATTTCACTCGATGTAGTCCTAAATCCTGGAATATTACAGGAAGAAGAAGATGGTCTTATCCCTGTTAAGCTGGCTCTGCAGGAATTCCCGACTGCTTTATCTCTGGCACATTGAATCCCATCAACACAAGGCACTTCAAATTTGTATATTCCATACTTATTTGTAGTTCTGTTCACTGAAAATGATATCTGTTCTGTTGTTCTTGAAGAAATTGCTTTGAACATGCAATCTATTCTAACTTCTACTCCTGCTTAGATCCAATAACGAATGACAAAAGAGTTTCGCTTTTAAAATAAAATTATCTGGGGAAAACTATAACGGTAAAGTACAAGTTCTGTTTAATCTTCCTTACCGGGAAAGAAGTAGCTGTGCTTGGAGAAGGTGTTGTTGGAGCAGAAGTCACAATATACCATGCCCATGACAATGATTTGGGACTGGGACTGGGATTTCGAGTTGGGATTTTTGGGTTCAACTTGCAAAGGGAATGAGAAAGTTAACAAGGAAGAAAATATAAAGAGAATAATGGAAGAGGCCATTGTAGAAAATAAGCAGAGAGAAGACACTCATAAGCTGCTTAAAGCGAAATATAATTTGGATAGAGTAGAGTATGAATTGTGCATGTGTGGTGCAGATGATGAGTGCCAGTTGTTGAGAATACTTGTTATGAGCTAAGAGTTGAAACGCCTTTTTTCAATGCACAAACAAACAAATGCATGTGAGTTTCCTTTGGCAGATTGCCCCTCCTTTTGTTAATATTAGTGTCAACATATACTACTACAGTATTGAACACGATAGTTCTAAAAAGAGAAAATACCGAAACTTCTTGTCATCTGCACAAACATGCTTACTAAAAATTGTCTAAAAAATAAGATTCAATTAGTGAGCTTGATACAGACCCGTGGACGACGGACTGTTCTCGCTTCAAAAGTCAAAGTTAGAATAGAGAAGTTCATTTGGTGAATATTTTCATTTACCTTGGGGCGACAGTTGAATTTATATATCCATATTATTAACCAAGTCCCAGTACTCTTAAAATCCTTTTTGGATGGTCTATTAATTAATAAAGGCTATAAAAAATGGAGAAAATACAAACTCCGGACCTTGAACCTTGAACCAATAAGAAAAATAAAGATGACTGGAAGTTTTTGTATATGCTCGAGAATCTTTATTTCAGTAACTGTTCGTGTTCCATAATTACAACCCACTGCATTCATGTAGATTGTAGACATGGGTTGAGGCATTGAATGACTAGATTTTGATATGCATGAGAATCTTCCCATTTCTGCAGTTGAGACAAAAACGCGTTGAGAATTTATTACTTTATCTAACCCATAAGAGGAAATGAATCCATAAAATGTCAACAAATTTGGTAGATTTATATACCATGATTATACAACAAATCTCTTCAATGTTATAAACAAGTAGAAATATGAACATCCCAGGGCCAAAACTCAACAACCCAAAAAAACACAACAGAACAGGATTAGGTTAAGATAAGACTAGGAAATATATTAAGGTAATAATCTTTGCGAAGTGAAATTAAATTTATGAAGCTTCTTGCATGTCTTTCAACATCGACTTGACTATAAATCCAAGCTACTGTATACATAACCCTTTGAGGGATTCGAGTCCAAGACCCCGTATTCTTGTATACAATTGATATAGCTATAATCGTACAAGAAGTAAAAAATTCGTAAAATGCATATACGTAATAACAAGCCACCATTACACCAAATGCTATTTAACAGATTTTAATATATTCCCAAGGGCCCACAAGATAAAAGCCGAATCAAACTTGCATACTCACAATATGGAACACAAACAAATGCTTTTCTTTGCTAGCTCGTCGACCTTCTTTTCTGTGAAGAAATAAAATAACAACTTTCAGCAACTACATCGAGTAACTGTGAATTTCATATAATCACAAGACTCATTTTATTTTGAGATAATAAGCACAATGAAATTGTATTTTGTTTGAATAACAAGACCTTAGATACAAGCTCCTCAATTTAGCCAAAACAGGAATAATAATAATAATAATAATAATAATAATAATAATAATAATAATAATAATAATAATAATAATTCCCCAAGCATGCCACACCATGCTGAGTATGAATGTCCATTTATGGAAAATGAGACTGATTGATGGAGACGTACGCAAACCATAGTTAATGGAGATGTACAAAATGTAACACAAAGACGAGACTGTGGGCACTTTTTAGAATATGAATTTCTATATCATGTAAAAATACGTCTCATTTTGACAAACCTTAAAGGACATAGTAGATGCATGAGATTGAGGGACATATGCATAAATGTCATCAGAATGGTCATGTCAATGATTTATATAAAGTTAGGTTTTTTTCTCTATGGACAGAAAAATAATCCTTGTGATTGTTAAATGCGACCCTCCAAACCATTGAGAATAATCAGGGGCAGACCCAATTCAGGCTCAGTGCAGGCATCAACTTTGGGCAACCCCAGCCACATTTTTCTGAACATGCAGTGTTATAAACCACGTAATTCATGGCTGGCTATGGTTTCTTCTTGAGGACATCCCAGGAGCCTTCAATTGAGGGATTTTTCCAGAGCCAGTTTATCGCGAAGCAAAAAATCTAATGATACAGAGGCAGAAGCTGTAATTGCAGAAGCTGAGGTGGTGGCAAGGGAAGTAGAGGAGGAGGAAGCTGCTCAGTGTTTTGCTGAGGCAACTACAAAGGCATTGAAATGAAATATTATCCGATGCTGGTAAAGTCCTTCCTTGAGTTCCAAGAACCTGCAGATGATCTGTTATTGCGCCAGTGCAAAACCATTACGTGCAAGACTTTTGGATCTATTTTGCTTCCAGTTCAGATTGCAGATGGGCAATTTCTGGTCTTTTTGACCAGATCTTGACCCAGCTTGTATTCTATAATGTTTTTCCAGTTCTTGCTCTGTGATAAATTCTGACTCTACTATCTAGCACTAGCATTTTTGAGAACTTTTTGGGGCTCTAGAGTTTGTAGGTGGGCCATCTTGGGAAATTCTTCTGACCAAATTCTTTCTGAATTTGTAAATTACATTATTTCTCTGATAATATCATTTTACATGTATGCAGACCTGCAGATGGCCATCACCACTCATTGCATCTCTGGATCTTGGCAGTGCACTGCCTATTTTTTGCAAGCAAGTCTTCATGATGTACATATGGATAGGGATGTAAATCTGGAATTTTGTCCATAGAAGTCTAAATTTTATTGGTTTTTTGACACATGATGCTATAGGAGAATCATAAGAGAAGGGGAAATGGAATAGAGGAAGAGAAAGCAGGGGGGAAAGAGAGAAGAAGAGGGAGATAATAGAGAAAAATTGGGGAAGAAATATATCAATTTTTATTCATTCAAAGTTATCGCCAATTACATTGCTTAGACCATTTATATAGGGTTTAAAGTAAGAAAATACTCTAAATGAATCAGTAATTATGTTTCCTAAAATAAACTTTAGAAATGGAAA